CTATCCAATTCATTTTAATTCCATGTCGATAACTATCTGTTTTTCAACAATTGTTTTACAAAACGGATAATTTTGTTGACTGATACCAGAAAAAACTAATCGTTTTAATGCAATGTGAGTATTTTTTAACCCGCTGGTAACTTTGACATAAAATTAGTGAAAAAAAAAAAAACGTTTTTTTTTCTAGAGATATGGAAAAATTAGCATTTGAACAGTAGTAAATGATTCACTTGACCTATTTACATGGCTTGGCTTTGATCAAATAGTTTGAATTAAAATCTCACCAAAAATCTTTGTGGCCGGTAAGTATATCGGGTTCCCAAGCTTATCACCCCGTGTTTTGTAACCCCCTTTTTCTTAACCCCCTCTCATATAACCCCCAAATCAGATAACCCCACTACAATTTAACCCCTTTTTAAAACCAATTGTTAGAATCAAAGTGAAAGTTACTTGAAAAGGATTCGGAACCATATCGTCGGAAAACATCAAAGCTTTAATTGCGAAAAATTTTGCGAACCAAAATGAGTTAACACGCACGCTGCTAAATGCGTTTTAGATTTGAACAGAAATGACCTTGCCGATAGTCTAGACTTTGATATGAACTTGAAAACGAATCCGACCGACATGATTCAAATTGGTGCATATACAAAACAGTCCAAAACCATTTGAATTTCTTGACCTTGATCTTTTGGCGCCGACAGAATTGATCTACGCTTTGAAAACTCAAACATGGGCTTAATTAAGATCAAAGAGCCAAAGTTGGAAGAAATTTTCGGATGACAACCAAAGGCCTCATGGTATAATGGTTAAAGCATTAGTCTCAAAATCTAGAGTTCATAGGATCGAATCCCTGGCGGCACAAAATTTTTTCCAATTTTCCCAAAAAAGTTGAATTTCGGGTCAATATGATAACGGGTATATCAAGGGTACAATAAATGGGTTAACCTTACAGGGTTGGGCGGAGGGAAAAGAAAAGTCAACACCTTGTATGTAATTATTATTTTGCCGGTTTCAAATCGACTCTAGCTCAATTTTGAAAAATCAAGGAAAATAATTAAACTTGGAAAAAATTTTATTGCTTGGCAATATAGATTAAATAGCAAATATTTAACTCAAGTTCGCCATAGCGCGAAAGAAATGCAAATCAGTTTTTTCTTCGTAAACATGCATAATATTCTGCACTTTTTCGTTGAGCACCCGGTATTTTTTCTTTTTTGTAAATTGATGCCCACTCGAGGCGTTATAGAAATTAAGTTTTTGGACGGACGCGTCTTTTTGCAAATTTGCAATCACTTTCCAAATACCGGGATGCGATCCACTGAAGTATGACTGTATGCCATAATGCCAGCCCTCTACAGCATTTGTTGTTCTGGCCAAACCCGATGATGCCGCATCCCTTTGATTCCATAATGAAGGGGGGAATAGGGCTTCCCGATTCGGGACGAGACTTTTTATGTAGTTAGATCCAAAATAAAGGCAAAGCTCGTCAACTTTCGCTATTTTTTCCGACTCTTTTATGGTGCGATCGCAAACTATTTGAATTTCTTCCACTATTTTATCGTATGAATTTCCTATTTCTTCTTCTTTTTCAAAAGCCAGTGCGGGTAACATGTTTTTCAAAAATAGTCGAGCATCAAGTTTGCCCGTGGAAATATCGTGATTATGTTGACCCCTCGTTTCAATAAAATTTTCTCCTTCCGTAATTGCTGTTGCGCGGCATTTATGGGTTTGGTACTTTGAGCAGTTCCAATTTGTTGTTGTTTTGTTTTTTCGTTTAAGGTAATACTCGTGGCCTGATACCACTAGCATTTGTTTATCTTTCGAAGATAAAGTAAAATGGAATGACGCTTCAAACATTATATCTGATCTGATAGAGTGGTATAACAATGGTTAAAGAAATAGGCAGTATGATTTTTTATAAAACTCACAAACGTCTTTTGTTGCCTTCAATTAGCACCATGTAGGTTATCTCTGTTTTAAACGCGTGAGTGAGGGATTATTTCTCTAACTAATCGAAATGCAATTACTTTTGAGATGCTAGAGGCATCAAGTGAATTAAGACTAGCTTTTCAGGCCTCAATTAGTAAGCTTAATTGGACTACTCCTGTACTTATAAAAAGGACTTAATTTGGAACAATTTATCGTCATTAAAAGGGGGTTAAATTGTTGTGGGGTTATCATGTTACGGGGTTATGATATAGGGGGTGTAAACAGAGGGGGTTAAATATCGTAGGGTTAAAGAGTGGGACACCAGTATATCGTACTGTGAGCCGTAAAGGTAATTTAAGAAATTCTGTGGCGCATACTACCTCCAAGGATTCCAGTTCGCTTGTTGAGTAATTCTTTTCATTGTCTTTAACAATCCAGAAGCAACTGCTATCGTAATTTTATCACTCTCCTGTTAGTTGTTTTAGCATTTCTTCCGACCCATTGCGCGAGTCATTCATTTGCAAGCTGTTTTTTATTTTGTATAGAAATGTTTGTTCTCACTATTTTTACTATTTAATTTTTTCATTTCTTCAAATGCTCCGATATGAATATAACTTCAATGGTAAATGAATTTTTTGATTATTGATTAGCAAAGGTTTTAAAACAAGAAAGGTTTGGAACAAACTTTTTAAACTGATTTATCGATCTGAAAAGGAACGAAGTTCGGAGATGTTTTTTTTTGGCCCAGAAGGTTTTTATTGAAATTATTTGCCTTCCAAGGGTTTTCAGTCTCAAAAATTTTAAAAAGTAACCTCTCATTTTTTTAAATGAAAACAGATTTTTCCTGTTTGACGGCCATTTTATATCCATCGAGCATTTCTTAACATCTCAAAAAAATTACTTTTTGTTCTTCAAATGAAACTTTCGAGGCTATTCAAATGTCATCAATGTGACAATTATCAAAATTTAAATTTTGCAAACTGATGAAAAATTGATTCTAATGGATAATTTTTTTATGAAAAGAAAAACAATTATAACCCATCAAAAAAGAATTAACTTTTAAAACTGGCTTCAATAATTTGTTATTCTGTCTATTAATTTTGCCATTAACAATCAATTATAAGCTAAAATTAAAAAAAACGCTCAAAGCAAGATTTTTCTAGAGCTGTGGATTGCACTTTCGGTAAACCCGCAGAAAACCCGCGAGGTTTTGTTGTTCAGTTTACATTGTCTACCAAAATGCCATTTGTACTGACATAATTTACAGGTAATAAGCTTTGCTGAAAAAAAAATAAGTGACCTTTTGGAGTGCAGTTTTTTAGTTTTTCACTGTTTATGCTCGCTTTTCTCTTCTTACCGTTAAATTGTTTGTAAAAGTAGCCTCTGTACTGTCATTCAGCAATTTTTGTCAATTCAAGATGGTTAAACAACTTTTTGTTTATGATAGCTTGGTTTAAATTTTGGATTAGGTGTTTCTGTTAAAAGTTTTAGTTGGAGATCCTAAATTTTCCTGATGAAAATGAAAACATCTTTTATCCATTCTTGTTCAACCACTTCTCCGGTGTTAGATGTACGAGCCATAATGGTCACCGTTCTCAACCCAGTCTTTATTGCTTAAATGTGACATTGGCGGGTTTTCTCATTCTCGTTGTTCAAAAATTTCCAATTTTTTTTTTGAAAGATTATCTTCTTGCCGGTAAAGAAGAATGGATTTCAATGATTAGTTGGTCTCAGTTCTTCTTATTTCACAGTTCTTCTTGTTACGGAGTGTTTTCGATTCTCTTCCGTAATTCTATTTTTCTCTGCCTTAACGTGCACTCACATTTGCTCTTAATTTGTGGCCGCTCTCAAATTTTGCTCATGCTTGCTTTCGTTTGGTAGCGAGATCCATTGCTCTGCGAGATCCATAGCGTGCGGGTTTTCAAAAAAAAATCGAAAATTTTGCCGAACTTTTTTTTAGGTCGACCAATTTGATTTTCTGGCTCTTTTTCCTTTCCTTCCCCCCACCTGCAATTTTTTACAAAAAAAACTACTGTTGACGTTGTCCAATCGTTATGAAAATTGACATGCAGACTAACTAAGTTGTGCCAAACATATTTTAGCTCCATAACGAACCTTGTAAAAGCACTCTATACATCATAAAATTTATAGTTGTGTGAGGTGGGGTGAGGGGGGGGGAGTGGGGAGGAAAAAGAGCCGATTTTCTGAGCTCTACCAAATCATTGTAAAGACCCTCTACCAAATCATTGTAAAATCATTGGCGAATTTTTAAAACAACACCAAAAAAGGCGTTTTTAAGCACTTCTTGGAAAATGTTCGCTAACAAAATCGCGTTTTTTCGGCGCACGCTCCCCCCTCAAAGTTAGTATATTTTAGCGCCAAAGGCGCCTATAGAAAAGTTTTAGGGTCAGCCAGCCAAAAATGGATATCTCAAAATAGTACAAATGGGGGAACCTTTGGGTCGGCAGGGGGTCGAATATCTGATGGGGAGGGGCGTCCGCCCCCCTCCCCCTAAATCCTCTGTGGTGCTGAACTCACTGGTATAATAATCTAAAACTAACTAAGTTAGATAAATAAAATCATAAGAAAATTAAATGAAAGCTTTTTATTTTCTATTCACTAAGAAGAGTGAGGCGAATTCCAATAGGATCTCCCCTAAAAATTCAAGAATTCAGCCATAGGGTATCCCCTTTGGTATTATATCATGACATACATTTTAGACCGAACAACCTACAGTTTTTTTTATATGAAGGGGATCTCGTGCCGAAGAAACGGAATTTTTTTGTCAAAATTTTCCACAAAGTGCCCAAAAACGGCCTTTTAAATGTTTTTTCATAAATTTGCATGCGGTGCAAAATTTTTGGTCAAAATAGGGTCTTTATATTGTTCTGGGAGCGCTTGAAAAATCAATTTGGTCGACCTAAAAAAAAGTCGACAAAAAGTCGACAATTTTTTGAAATTTCGCCATCTTTCGAGAAAATCCAAGATCCGACCCTGGTTATCTGACAATGTTAACAAATGCTATGGAGAAACAAAATCCTTTCCCTTCTTAAAGTTTGTGCATGTTTTAGGAAATGATCCTCAAACTGGAAAACTGGTCGGTGACCTAGTTACGGACCAGGCCGAACAAGCTCTCAAGAACCTGCAGAATGTTCTAGAATCATCTGGAAGCTCATTTGAAAACGTGATCAAAACAACTGTCTTTCTTGTTGACATGAAAGATTTCCCATCTATTAACTCGGTTTATGTCCAGTTTTTTGGAGAATCTGGGCCTTCCAATGGTCATAAGCCAGCCAGGTCTTGCGTTGAAGTCGCAGCCCTCCCATTTGGTGCTAAATTTGAAATTGAAGCTATAGCTGCAGTCATAGACGCGGAAACAAGAATCTCTGGGGGAGATGAACGAAATGCTATTTGAACAGAAGAAGCTAATTAGCGACTCTAGTTAAGTTGTATTCTAAATGGATGGCAATAAACTATTAAAAATTGGCCAATTGTAGTTTATGTATGTGCATACTTTATATCATTCTAGGTATCAGATTATTTTTTTCAATTTAACGGCTTTTGATCGAAAGGAAATAATCATCATAATCATAAATTACTTCCGTATCAGATATTTTTCAATCGATATTTGTCAATTAACATAACTCTGATATGCAAGGACACCAGAAGGCCTGATAGGCAGTGAACATTCAGCAGTACAGTTTCATGCCCCTTAGGCACTTAGAAGTTTTAACCATATGGTCTATTATTTGTCCAAACTCTGCAACCCCACTTTCAGAAAAAAAATCTACTATTTCTTTATTATTTATGATGTGTAAATTGCGAAAACCATGATAAAAAATGATATATGATTATCCTGAAGATTATATAAGACTAATAATCCGACTCTTTTGTGTTGCAATAGCTCAACCTCTGAGTCCAAAATTTAGTTTCTTTTAGAGTTTCAGTTCTCAAATCTTTAAGTAAAAGCATAGATAATATTTTGAATAGCTGGTATACGAGCAATTTTTTCACTGAGCATATCTTGTAGGTTTCAATAAAATATTTTACAAATTTATGTTTTAGTTTTTCTGAAAAAATTATCAGAAGTTAGTTTTGCTTCTTTTCAAGTTTTGGAGTTTTGGCAAGTAAGTTTTTTTTACCAATCCAATTTTCAGAAAGAAAAAAATCTACTATTTCTTTATTATTTGTGATGTGTACACTACGAACCCATATTGCAATTTTGGCTGAACTTGACTAAATAAATTTTAATTAAGTGTGCTTTTGTTAAAAAATTACGTAATATGTAAGGGAATCTATATAAAATAATCATTTTTTGACAAGACAGTCAAAATAAAATTTGAAAAATAAGTTTGTGTCCGAGTGATTTCTCAAACATTTAGTATAGAAACGTTTTGTAAAATCATCCTTTCTTCATTCCAATTTTTATTTTATTAAATCTTATATTTACTGTAAAATAAAAGTGTTTTTACTGTTTTGTCATGATTTAAATTATTTTACTGATTTTCAACCAATTTTATATTTTCGATGAATCCTCAATGTAATGGAGTAAGTTTTGATCTTTTGCATGACTGATGTATTTTCAGCGTTAAAGTAATTGTTCACATATTTTGTAATCAAGGCTAAATGATATATCTACCATAAGAACAGTAGTGGCCAGAGGCTTAATCCCTGTGGAACCCCACAGAAAAAAGTTTGCATTTCTAACACTTTAGGGATCATTGTGAAAACTTGAGATATATTTGTTAAATTTGGTTTGAACAATGCTTGATTGGGACCTCGTAAGCCGCAGTCTTAAGCTTTTGTAAAAAAACTTTCGTATGAAACAGTATCATCAAACGCTTTTTTGTGATCAACGAAAGTTGCATGTATTACATTGTTACATTGGGGACCAAACCCAAACTAATTTGGATGCCCTATATGAAGTTTACCAAAACGTCTATGGTGAAAAAATTAGACCTCACCCCATATTAGTTTTTGTTAAAACACTATGTTAGTCTAAAAAATCATTATTGTGTTTGAGCAGTGTTTATAAAAAATTTGCTGAAAACTGGTCAGAGAGCTATTGGCCTATAGTTATAGAGTTTTTTGTTGCTTCATTTTCATGTTTCAATTTCACTAAGGCTATTTTAATACAGTCTGGAAAATTGTTGTTTCTTAGTAAAAACTAGCCGAGTAGATTTGTCAGAGTAATAATTTTTGCCATTTTGAACTTTTTATTACGAAGGTACTCAACCCAGAAAATTTATTACTGTAACTTGCATAAAACTTTTAAAAAACAGTGGATATTCTTTTTTTGCTTGTGTTCAGAGAATTTTTTTGAAGAATTTGCTTGCCATGAATTCTCCTCGATGATTTAATTTTTTCAGCCAACTGATGCCTATATAAGCTCAAATTTTGCGTCACTATCGATTTTGTTTCGGTAGAAATGTTTCCGTTTCTTGACTTAAAATTTTCTAAGGCATTTCAAATTTTCAGAAACTTCGCTTCATGATCTCACTTTCTGACTTTATATAGCTTGCATACTTGTTCCGTTTCTTGCTAACCATTTTTTTGATTTCAATATCTATTCATGTTTTTTAGTTAACGATTGTGTTATTTGGAACAAAATGGTTACTGTTAAGCTTGACTTTTCTTCGTCGACCTTTCTATGTAAAAATTTCAAAACTTTTGTTTTCTAAAATATTTCTGTCATCTAAATCTTTCCGAAGGCCGATTCGGCGATTTCATCAGGATTATTATTTTTTGTTTCCTTCAGGTAATTAAATACTTTTGAATGGTCTTTAACTAATGTTTCCGACATTTTAACAGCAATAGCAAAGTTTGAGCACACCACTTTTTTCAATAATTTTACCTAGTTGTTTGGCGAGTTGACACTGAAATGGTTAGATAATGTATTTTAAAAGCACTTAGACAATCTTCAAATGCGTTGTTATTTTGAGTATTTAAATGGTCATAATTGAAGTTTCCGCAGAGAACATATTTATCATCATTCATACATCTTTCCATCCCAGTAATTTGCTCTATCCAAGTAAATTATTTTTTGGAACTTGTTGCTACTTAAAAAAAGGTTACACTAAATCTAAATTGAATTTCCATCGTAATGGAAAACTAGCAGTGGCAAAATTTTTTTCAGAAGGTCACTTCTCCTTGTGGTACTTTTCTATGACAAATGATTTTGGTTCACCAACCCTAAAACCTTCACAAACTCAAAATTTGTGCCTTTTTTCCCAAACAATTTGTTTTCCAAAAAATTTAAAGTGTACTTTTTTGAAGAAAAAAAAAATCGCCATATTCAAAAACGATTCTCTAAAAACAAAATCACTCTCATCCTCCCACCCCCCCCCTTCCCCCGAAAAATGTTCTACAGGCTACTAAGAGCTAAAACTACTGGCACTTTTATTCAACCCGTCGGTCAAAAACATCACTTTTTTGAAACGAGTGATTTTACAAGTTAGATACAAAGACTAGTTCTGTTTGGAATGGCCTGTTAGTCTGTGTGCCAGTTCTTATTATAATTGTTTTTCGAACAAAACTATACAAACACATTTTTCGCAGTTGGGGGGGGGGGGGGGGGAGAGGGGGCAAACTACCATAAAATGGAAGCATCAAAACTTTGAAAAGGTCAGCTTTGTATGTGTAACAAAAACATAAAGAAAAAATCTATTCAACTACCAGACTCCCTCAACAACTATTTCTGATTTCGTAGTCTATGCTTTTTTCAAACTTATGAGTTAACTGAAAAAAAAACATAAGGTAAGTGATTTCAGAATCAGTAAAAAACGCATGCTTGTTTGCACCGGAATCCAATTCTAAGCGTTGAAATTCATTTTTTAAAATGTTTTCAGTACGAGTCTTTCTAATGTTGAGATTAAGTTCACTATAAGCAAGGAAAAATCAATAACAATCTCTTCTTTTGCAAAGCAAACTACAGTCAATTATGAAAACATTTCAATCGTTTATAACCAATTACCAATCTATCTGTTTTCTGATACAATTTTAATCAATTATAACTGATTACTTTTCCCCAATTTTCTACTTTAATTGTTTGCCATGAAATTTCTTTCAATCGTTCATAGTCAATTTTAAATCCTTTTAAAAGCCCCATCTGTTTTTGACCTTGCACCTAACATTTTTTTCATAATCATTGGCTTATGTGAGGTTATGGAAATGGTTTTAGCAATTTGCAAATCAAATCAAGTTTATCCCGTTTTTTTCTTTTTCATCGTTCTCAAATAAAGGATGCAAACTTTTGTTTTCTTTGCCACCAAAAAAGCACATTGTTTTAGTTTGATGGTTATTTTGGCGGATATATTTTTCAGCTACGATGTGAATCTTTCGGCTCATTTAAAGGAACTGCTATAAAGTTTTCGTTTCGGGGGCAGACTTGTTAACGGGCCGCCATAATTGAGGTCCGGCCCGGCCCGGCCCGATATAATTCAAGTCGAGCCCGTTGGCGGCCCGATAAAAAGGGAATTTATTAAATATCGGCCCATTGTGGCCCGTTGCTGCTTTTTTGGTAAAAAACAAATTTGTTTCAAAACAATTTTAATTAATTGTTTTACTTATTTGTAAAGAACTTTTTTAAAAGCCATGGAAACCATTTCAATTGCCTCAACGCTTGTAGGCGAATGTTTTGCCCGTCTATGGTTAGTAAATAAAAGTAAGGCCCGTTGATAAAAGTAAAAACCTCGGCCCGTCCCGGCCCGTTGAGGCCCACGGGCGGCGCGGCCCGTTGACAAGTATGTTCGGGGGAAATTTTTGTGTTTGGGTGAAACACAAGGAGACAAGACTTGACTTAGAGAAGACAAGACAAGACACATACTTAGAGGTTCCCTTACAGGCAAAAAATTGTTCATCCTTAAGTTACACTTAAGATTTATTTTTGGTGTGACACTGATTTGGCAACATAAGCGATTATAATGTATTTACAGAAGTTTTCTGTAGGAGCTATGTTTAGATATAATTGATTGAAGAAGCTTCGGAAAAAATTTCGGAAAAAATGACGGTTATACTTGATTATAAATCTCTAATAGAACTAATTTTGCTACTTTTAATCAGTTATAATTGTCATAAAATTTGCTTAAAACCCCTTATATTCGGTAACATGCCTATAATAGGATGCGAGAATCGTCAATCATGTAAAAGTCACGAAGGACTAGATGATTAAGTATAAAAGTTATAGACTATAAGAGAGTGCTTCGCACCAGTTGTACAAAAAGTATGTGAGGAACAAACACAGTTTGAAAAAACTCACACTAGGTTTTGGTTCCTTCTCATACCGCAAGTTTCATATGGTAGAAAACCAGTACAATTTTCAATTGTTTCCTATAAGAAACAGTATCGGTTTCAAATAATTTTTTATACGTTTCAAACAATTTTTTTTTGGTTTTCAGACTGAATTAGAAGAACGTTAGCGAAAAGCTGACCCACCACGACAATTTAAACATTTATTTTGACCTATTTTTTTAGGTTATTTCGGCTATTATACTTCTCACTCTTGCAGTATTTCATCTATTCCAGTCCTTTTTAAAAGAAATTACCGAAATTTAGAAAAAAATAAATGCGAAATCTTCAAGAAATTTTATCAAAGGAGGACTGGAATAGATGAAATACTGCAAGAGTGAGAAATATAAAAGCCAAAATAACCTAAAAAAATAGCACCAAATGAATGTTTAAATTGTCGTGGTAGGTCAGCTTTCGCCAACGTTCTTCTAATTTAGTCTGAAAACAAAAAAAAATTCTCGACGCAATCAACCTTATTAAATTTTTCGAAATTCTAAACCACCAATAGCGCTTTATTATGAAACCACACTTCACCCTCGTCAATCTTTATTTGACCAGTCAATGCAAAAATGGACGCTATTCCAAAGTTCCTTTAAGTCACTTCCAGTGACGTGCCCGCAACAACATGCGACCATCAGCTAAGCTGAAAGCAAATTAGTCATAGCTTTTAAGCGGAAAAAATTAGTTTCGTGTTATCAATAAACGAAACTCTACAATTTCGTGAGCCTTTTTTTTCAAAAATTTTCATTCAAAATGAATTCAGTCAGCACTTAGCCACCAGACAATTAAAAAAGTATAAATCTACTGACGCAAACTTCAATTAAATAAAAAGTTTCCAATTAAATAAGTAAGTAATTACAGTTTCCATTAAGTAAGTTTATCTTGGATCGATGGGCAAAACTTTCATGCCACTGGAAAATCTAATTATTGAAAAAAAAAACAATTTCTGGCAATTGGGACCTTCTTAATTTGCCTTCCTTCGGGCAAATTAATCTGAACTGAACTAAAGCACAAATCAAAAGTCAAACTGCGAAAAATCAGATCTACAAAAAACAGACCGAACAAAACTCCAACAAAGTCATTTGAAACATTCATCAAAGAAAAGTAGTAGGATTTGCTCGAATTTATTATCGCTAACTCAGCAAAACTGAAATTGCAAGAACTGATTCTGCAGGCAAAGTTATTATTTCTGGAAAGCGTACAGGTAGAGCATAATCTTTATCTTTATGAATATGCACTTAACAAATGTACTTAACCACCTTTCTGCAAAAACGCTTTTGCTGTTCGACAGTGGAGTTTGGCTTCTTTTTAACAATGAAAAAGAACCTAATTTGAAAAGAAATCAGAATCAAAACGAGAAAAAATTGAGCGTGAACAAATTATATGACTTTTTCCAGCACAAAAAATCACCAAGACTTATGTATACAAGAATATTCCCTATGTTTATTACTTTTAATAAGCCGCGACAGTTAATTCCGACTATTACTATTATTGCTATTCGGCGAACAATTTTTTTTCACGGGGAAAAAACTAGTACCGGTTGCGATGCCTTTGCGAAACGCAAGGGTTTTTATTTCTTATAGACGGTACAATTCAAGCTAGGCCCAAATCTTTCATCAACAATCAAATTTACAACTATTTAAATCTTACAAAGCACTGCAGGGTCTTAGCCTCAGCCCTTTCATTATCGCAGAAAACGCGATATAACTCAAACCAAGCCAATTAAGGACTGGAAAAGAGTAACAAACGCAAGTAAACATAAAAAAAACAAGACTTTCCTGAAAAAATCTCAACTTTCGAATTTCACAGAAAAAAATAGACGCCTTTTAAACTCGTTGAATTTCTAGAACAGTTTATGATTTGCGCTTTTTTGATAACATGAACCCAACTAGAGAAAGTTGGATCAATAGGTAAAGTTTTCATTCCGCTGGAAATCTAAAAACTAAATTCCACTTTCGAAACTAGAAATCTTTCACGTTTTTTCGCGCCATTTCCACGTTCGTTTTTGAAGAGTGCTATTTACGTCACTTTCAGCAGATGCATTTCAAAAAGTGAACTCAAAAAGTGCATATATACCTAAGTGCATTCATAAATGCATTAATTTGTATGAATGTACATCTGTAGTTATTAGAGACTTTTCCTGAAAAAAAATCAGCAAGACCTATATAAGAGTCTTCACTACGTTCATTACTCTGAATCTAATTCTATTAGTCTCTTATCATCTCTGTACCTAGTATAGAAAAAGACTCATATAATCCTTATGAAGGGACACAACCTCGTTTATCCCTAAAGAGCCGAACAGCTCGTATGTTGGTCATCTCCTTCGCTTATAAGAGGCTATAAATTAAAACTGCTCAATATTTGAACCCTTCAATTCTGAGCAAGAGAAGCAATCTTTGAAGTCTCTAAAATTGTACATTTGATTGCATCGAAATCATATACACTGATATGGAATAAACTCATTCCAGCTGTTTTGAACATCAAGCTTTTTGAATTTTAAAAAGCGCATTTACAGCAACAAAGGAGGATTTTGGAACAAAGGAAGCTTGGTTTAAGTTTTTACTTTGATAAAGTCAACACTATTTAGCAAAGATTATTACAAATACAAAAAGTATAATCTTAGCACGACCACATTTATAATCAAATTGAAATAAATTTGAAATTATGTACAACGAAATTGAATTAATCAAACTTGAGCAAATCTCATACCCAAGATTGTAAGACATTAAAATAATATCGAAGATGAACTTGTTCATATTTCTAGTGCAATTAAGCCAAATTTCTAGTGCAATTAAGCCAAATTTCTACCAGATTCAATGATTTAAATTCTAACTTTAGCTTGTATATTTTCATTGTATGGCCTTCTGTTTAAGACGGAAACACTGTATCTCTGTTACCGACCCACACCTCAAAACATATTGTCTTTAACATTTGTCCAAAATATATCTTTTGAGCAAACAAATTTCTATATAACGGGATGATTTTGGATCGGCAACGTTTTACAGCCAGCCTCCGACGCTATGCAGAAGCAAATGTGAAATATGTTACAGTAGTTTTACTTTGCATTTCAGTTTGGGGGAAACCCTCATACCCGAAGGAGCGAATGCCAATCAAAACTTATATATCAAAAGAAACTTCGAGAAAATCAGTCAGCTTCGGAAAATTTAAAGAACACTGATCTGTATTAAAAAACTGGCTTTCACTTCTTCAAGTATGAAAATTGCTACATTTCAGTTTGTTTGTTCGCCTCTCTTAAGACCAGAGGTGGATGAATAATCTGAACTTTTGTGACTTCTCTTGTGTCGCTTTTTACATAGGAAGTGTTGTCACCTGGTGGTAGTAGTTCTTCACTGTCAACAGAGGGTAGCCCAACTCCCGACTAATCAGCAGCAAGTTCGATCCCGCAAAATACACAAAATCCAGAATGGAGATAGTCTAAAACACAAATACCACTAAATACAAAAAAAAAGTTTTTCACGTTGAGTTATTTTTCACGTTAGAGACAGATTTTTAGAATTTTCACGTTGCTAAGGCGAATGGGGTTGGAAACCATCGCTTCTATCAAACTCACCCTCTGCCCGCGCTCCTTTTCCGGAGTTACGAAACTAGAAGAGCTTCAAACTCCGTCGTTAACCCTGCAATACTATTCGAAAAACTGAAGCGTAGTTTATAGGCTTAAAAATTCTCTAATTTGATAAATATTTTAAAAATTTCGCTATATTGTATCGGTGTTAAATCAGTAAATTTATTATTTGAACTTGAAAAAAAAATTATGGGCTAATTTTGTATTCTCCAATATTTAACGATCAGAAGTCTACGCAAACTAAATTGGACACTTGAAGTGCCTTATAGACATTTTGAGCATATGTTTTCAGACACTTCTAACCAAAAAAACTGCCCATAAAGCGCAAAAGTTTTATTTGAATGACGTTCTCAGACATTTACTGACGGCGTTCAAAGTCATGCGCCACTTTCAACACCGGAATTTTCATCTTCAGACGGGGATTCATCTGAATTCAGTTACGTCAAAGACAGACCTAATCTTATTGAAGTACTCCAACTTATAATAAAAAGGGCCAGACAAGAAAAATTGCCAAGTTCTTCAATCAAGTTTTTTCATTCTACTCTAAGACCATTCGCATTTTTTCACCACAATGTCTCTCAGTCGGGTACCAATGTTTCGTATTTTTCTTTTGATGACTACTCAAGTACAAGTGAGCAATACGATTAATAAAACCACAGAATCCACAAATGCCACTACTAGTAGCACATTCAAGTGTGGACAGGCTCCGGTTCTTTTCCAAGACGAAAACAAGGAGCGCATCATTAACGGAACATATTCACCAGCCAGAGGCGCCTATCCTTTCATGGTCAATATTAAACTCGGGTGGCAACATTGGTGCGGGGGTGCTTTGTACGACAAAATTACTGTCATTTCTGCCGCCCATTGTTTCTGGAGAGGTCAAGATGTCAGCGATTTGAAACTTTTCTTTGCCGATTTCGACCAGAAAATAGGACGTTTTTCAATTACCCTTCTCTCGCCAATGTTCCAAAACATAGCAGTCAGACAGTACGAAAATCGTCAATAAGCTAAATAAGCCAAGAAAATCATCTGAATTAAATGCCAATGATAAAAAAAATCGACAGATAGCGTTTTTTATAGCTTGCAAACTTTAAAACACTTTATGATTGGCCTTTTTTCGATATATCGAAAATAAAAAGAGATCATCAAATAATAAAAATGCAATTGAAATGTCCCAAGAAGTAATGAGTTCACAAAAGTGATTATTGACTTTTCATAAGAGTAATGGGAGCATTTCGGAGACCGAAAAAATAGGACGGGTACTGAAAAAGAGTCCTAAAAAAGGGATACACCTACGAAAAAGGCCAAGAGAGACGGTACGTTGAGCGTATCTTTATTCATCCCGACTACCAAAATGGAATTGTCAACGACATTGCAATCATCAAACTGACGGAACCAGTTCCCTTCACAGATATGATTCAACCGATATGTCTACCGAGTTTCGAAGTTCAAGGAGGCGAGCAAGCGGTGACTTTGGGGTGGGGATACACTTATGGGACAGCCAACGGAAACATCTTGGGAGTGCTGCATGTTCCTGTGATTCCACGATCGATATGCTCCAGGTAGAACAAACAACATGAACTGAGAACAACCACTAAACTTAAACACAATTTCGAAATCATGACTATTTTTTCTCGTTTCGCTCAACATAAATTATTCCAATTTACGAGAAATTCATAAAGTTGAACCCGAAGCCCTTTTTCGAAACGAATCTTTCAAACTTAATCTTAAATGTTTTTTTTTCTTGCATAAAGTCTAAATATAACCATTTGTTCATTATTATTCTAGCGGCAACTGGTACGGAGGTGCAGTTAAAGAATGCATGATTTGTGCGGGATACAAGGACGGAATGTGGGACTCCTGTCAAGGAGACTCCGGAGGTCCCCTTGCAGTGCAGAACGAGAAAGGGGCCTTCGAATTAATCGGAGTGACTTCTTGGGGACAGGGGTGTGCCAAATCACACAAACCTGGGGTGTATGCTGATGTATATGACTACATAGATTGGATCAGGGAAACAGCTGGGGAGCCAGACTACTATTAATTTGATGGGGAGAGAAATAAAAAATATTACTTGCTGCAGTTTTGAAGAATTAGTCAATACGGCGGAATAATCATAGATCCTATGATTTAACTAACAAGGCCAACAGACAGCTGGAAAAGCGTCCAAAAGCTCAGAGACTACATATTGAGGCAATTTTTATTTCGTTTTATAGAGCTAACTTCTTCGCCAAAACAACACCAAAAAATCAAGCTTTATTCTTTGCATTATTTACACTTAATCTATCCGAGAGCGACTTGTTATTCCGACCATTGCAAATGAAGATACACTTTGTATTCGGGAGTGTTTTAGTTTTTTTCCATTTTTCGAATGCTCCAGGTAGTTTATTCGGGAGTGTTTTTCCTTTTTTCGGGTCGGGTGATATCACGAAAACCATAAATACTCACTCTTTTTACAAAATTTTCCATCTTCAAATTTTGAAGAAAAAAAACATAGCCAACTGACAGTCGGAAAAGGGTAATGAACGCAAGGAAACCTAAAAAACGACTTGTTTTTCTAAAATCTTACTTTTGAATTTCGAAGAAAAAAATAGATGGCCTTAAAACTCTTTGATGTTGTAGAAAAATTAACGATGGAAATATTTTTGTTGAAATTAACCCAATTTCAGAAAATTGGATATTTTTTGGCACTTTTTTAATAGATTTTGACCAAAAAATCGCGTTTTTTCGGCGCGCGCTCCCTCCTCAAAATTAGTATATATTGGCGCCAAAGGCGCTTTTAAAATTTTTTTTGGGTCCGTCACCAAAAATCGATATCTCAAAATAGTACAAAGGGGGGACCCTTCGGATCGAATCCCTGAGGGGGGCGTCCATCGCCCCCTAAATCCGCCCCTGCCCGATTGCAATACCATTGCTTATCGCAAGGGTAAAAATTAAAGTCCATTTTTGAAAACTAAGACGTCAATCTCGTTTTTTGTGACCTTAACACGTTTTCTGTTCGATAGAGGAGTTTGTCTTCACTGTTTTCATAAAACTAACCCAAATAGAGAAAACAGGGCCAGACCAAAAAGTAATTTTTTTATTCAAATTAAAAGTTTTAAACTTGTAATTTAAAATTTAAAGTCACTCACGTTTTTTGAGCCATTTTCGTTATTGCAGCACTTAATTTTCCTTCATTTTAGGGATGGAATTTCAAATCGCAGACAAAATGTTCTCGAACGAGCCTCTCTCAAAATTCTAATTTACAGACGTCTTGAAAAAGTTTTCCTGTTGGTCGACCAAAAATTCAAGGTTTATGTTCTATATGCAATGTTTTATAGGCGAAGTGCTAAAGGGAGCGGCGCTAAATCCGCCCCAGGTGGTAATATAACAATCGTGGCTAGAGTTGAGAACATGCTACTTGAAAAACGAAAACAAACACTCTGGATAGCCAAGGAGCTATTCGATATTATTCATTTGACTCACGCATAGGGAATTTAAGACCAAGTTAGGTCGTGTAATGTAGTCCATGAACAGGCCGTTTCTGAGGAAGATGAACCACATTAGCAAGACGATCGATGGAATCACACAGACATCAAATGCGGGCACTGCACATCTAGAACAGAAATACATATTTGTTCTCTATTTTTTTTTAAATTATACGGTGTTCTCAAAATTACTTAATTTTTTGGTCAAGGAATCAAATGAAAACTGATTGAAGCTCATTTTGACGACACCAGAAACAAATATCCATATCTTGAAGCCGAAATTACATCATAATTACGTAACAATTACACAAAAACAGTGACTATAATACGCTATGTTGCATAACAATATTACTTTCGGCTTGTTGTAATGGTAATCATGTTTTCGGCTTGCTAGCTCTTTGACCTATTACAGAAGATTATTATTCTTTGAGAAAGACTATTTTGGTTTTTCAAGTTCTCCCGAACACCAACAAGCATAGCCAGTTGCTGTGCAAGTAGCAAATCATGTTCCGACCATATTTAAAAAAAATAGAAAAAAGTTTTGTTTTACGTTTCAGCAAAGTAGTGTCGTTTTTAGCGCGTGGTGTGAATTGAGAACTATACGATCGCTTAATAGATTAGTGAAATAGGCATGATTGACATTTGTCTTCAAAAAATGAATAAACAAAAACATTTTTTAAAATTAAAAAAAAAGTTTTTGTTTGCACTATCTTAATTTTTTTTGTAAATACTTTTGTTCGAATAAGCGCTAAATGAAAAAGCAAAAAACTCGTTTTCATTATAAATAAATCAATTAGTTTAGCCTGAAAAAAAGTAAATTTCCATATAACGAGCGTTTTTCTCGACATGTAACCAGTTTTTCTCGACACTGGGACATTTTTTTTGAAAATTTAATTCGAATCACGATTGAAAGGAATTTAATACACATTCCAATTTTTGTGGTACTGATTTTGCGTGGAACACCCAAAAGAAAAAAACTAAAACACCCAAATAGAAAATGTCTCTCCCCATTTTCAATGGTCGGAACAAAAAGGATTCGTTTTTGCGTGCATTTCACAAATCAAACAAAGAATTTTCAGCTACAAATAAAGTCTAGTGAATAATGCTGATGATAATCTACGTTTATATATAAATAATGTTTTTCTTTTTGTGTGATTAACTAAAAAACTCCGTCCTTCCACGTATTCCGTCGATAACTCTTCAAAAATTCAGGATAACTAGAAGTTGAGCAAGAGCAACAGAATTTTCAGACAGTGCCGTTTGCAAAAAAACATCGCTTATAATTTTCAGTTTTCGAAGGAAGAAAAAATATCACGTTAACAAGAATTGTTTATGATTGGCACTTTTTACTTAATGTTATTCAATTTAGAGAAAGTTGCATCAATAGATAATTTCTATACTCCCTTGAAAACTCGTGATCGTGAGCTTTTAGATAGTGGAGTTTGCCTTCCTTTTACACAGATGCGAAGCTGTGCTTCGCGAACACTTGCAAGAACACGAACAAAAAGCAGCTCTATCAAGTGAAATAAGAAAAAGTGAAATAATCCTCGAACTTTTTGTCATTGTACTGCTGTTTGAAACTTTTTTCGGTTCATTTGATGAATTTAAAATGCATCAGCTGTGTTAACTTTTTACTAATCAAATGTCAAAGCACATGCTATCAAAAAGCTGTAAAGCGACTTAGGTTGGAACAAATAAAGAACGTTCGTACTAATACACTTTGCTTCGCAAGTGTAAACAGAGGAAATTAACTGAATTTTAAAAGAAATCATAAGTCAAACCGAGAAAAATTATACTTTCCGTAAGAAAACGAAACAAAAAACCATCATGACCCATTTTTTTCACATTTCCAAAATTTCTATTTTTTTAGATAGGTGAGGGGCAAGTAAATTAAGTAATGAGCTGCAATAATGAAATATTTATAGCAAAATAAAATAAAAATCATGGGGGAATTAATTGAGAGCATACTCTCCCGTCCACTAAGCAACGACTGAGTTTTTCTCGACACTGAGAAAATCTCTTTTAGGAGGCCATACTATGGCTGAGAAGGCTTTACTATAGAAGTAAGCCCACGAGTTTTTTTAATAGCTTTCCCGAAATGACTAGATAAAAAAAATGCCCTACGCCAAGTTCTTTTCTACCCAGTAAGAGTACCCGGAACAAAAAACTCTACCTGGCCATGTAGCACATGATTACAGTCCAGGACAGTTTGACGAGGGGTGCGATGACAGTGATGGTGAAGAACTGGGGTATGTAGTCGTAGATGAAGTAGGACACCAGCAGATAGTTGACGAATGCCAACACAATCACAGTCAACAGCCACGGCAGCGGCGAGTACGTTCTCAAGCCCTAAACAACACACTCTCAGAACACATTAACATAAATCGGGCGCCCAAGAGAAAAATTCAATCATTCTGGCATATTTATGCTTATTAATGTTATTTGTTTAAAGCCAAAGCAAAAAAAAAAACGAAATTCGAAACTCAGAGACTTGCGATACAACACAATCATAAAAAGCATGAAAATGAGTCGAAAAGCAAGAGTCGAAAAAAACAAGGTGAACCAAACTTTTCGAACCTCTCGATGAAGGACACCTAGGGCTCAGCTAAAGCTGGAGGAAAATATTTAATATTTTTTGAATTTGTTACTGATGCGGGACGAAATGCGTAATTTCAAAAATTAGACTTTGTCCAAAACCTTAGTTGTGTCTCAACTTAAGTGAGAAGAGTGAAAATTTTTGAGATTTTGGATTTTTTCCAAAAACCTAGCCTTTTTCTTACACAAAATTAAGAAGTAGAAGCTTCTGCGGAAAAAAACTCACGCAAACGCTTCAGTCGATTGAAAATTTCATATCAGATTTGATAGGATATTTCAAAAAAAAAAATCAAAAAATTTCTATAAAACAGTCAAACTTTTTTCTGCTAAACGCAGGTCGTGACCGCTAAAAAAGGGAAGAATCCCAAAACCGTATTTTCGAATGGTTCAATTTTTGCAACTTTCACTTGTTTAAAGGTCATAACTTTTTTCTAAAAACTGGGCGTAGCAAATTATAAAGTTAAACTTTCAACAACCTGTTGGGTCGATCAAACCTATGATATCAGTTTTGGGAGGATAATTATCGACAAAAAGATTTAAAAAGGGTCAACAAATCAGAGAGCTGACATTTCCGAGAGCCAAAACTTTTTTGTTTTAAAAAAATTGGGCGTAGCCGCTTATATAGAAGAGAGTCACCCAACCTGTTATTTCGATTGAACCCAAAAATCTAGTTTTGGCCGGGTAGTTTTCGAGAAAATCAAAAACGTTTAAAAATCGGTCAAAAAATCAAAACTTTTGACTTTTCCGAGGACCATAATTTATCATTTTTAAAAAAAAAATTTGGGCGTAGTCGCATATGCAAAGGGGCTTCCTACAACCCGCTCTTTGGATTGAGCCCCAAACCTTAAATATAGAAGGGTATTTTTTAGTCGAAGTTACGAAGCGGAAACAAGGCAGACAATATTTGAGCAGACACCAGTTGAGCCGGGAAAAACTTACTATGTAAAAAACTTCAAAAAGTCCCCCTGAAACTACCCTGTAGGAATTAGTACTCCGCCAGTAGTTAAACTTTCAAGAAATTGAATGCTGTAAAGCAAGCATATCATTTTAATCAAGTCGACAGAAACTGAGACAAATGCCAAAAAATATTTTCAAAAATGTCAAAAAACTTTTCATGTTTGTCTCGAATGAAGTTCGATTTGGGAAAAACATGTCGAGAAAAATAATCACCGGCGTTATATAAACATTCAGACAACGCTAACGCATCCGTTACTAAGCTCGAAAAACTTAACTGAATTCAATTGAGAAATTCGGAAATTTGAAGCCTCCCTCCCAAAGCGTAGAAAATGAACTTTGAAAAAAATGAAAACCACAGCTGGTAAATTTAGAAATTACAGTAATAAAGGAAAATGACTTCTGATAAAAGTTATTAAAAACTCTTAAAGCCAAAAACACATGCTCAGGAAAATAAGCAGAAAAACAAGCAGATAACCCGAAAAATACATTTTCCCAGGAAAACTTTCAACTTGCAAATAAGTCTGCTCCTGGCCGGAATCAAATTTAGGTTCTCTCCCAGTCCAAGCACGAGCTTTACTTTTAAGCTGAACAGGCAAAAAAAGAAGTAGCTGGAGCTTGAACACTAATAATGCAAGCGGAGGATTTCTATTAGCAACGTTTTTACCGAGAAAAAGACAACATTTTTATTTAGAGAGAGTTCTGCGTCGAAAACAACTGGTCTGATAAATTGTTTTTCAGACTGATTCATAGCGGGGAGCGACTTTTCGGACCAAAATTTTTGAACTAAACGCCCTGTCTGTTCTCAAAACCGTTTAAGTTTACATTCAGTTTTGAGCTTTATTCTAATCGAACCTAATCAAACGTCAACAAACAGTTGGAAAAATGTGGAAGAACCCATGGAAAACTGATTCAAAAAGATTGATTGCTTGAAACTTTCGATTTTCGAAAGAAGAACAAATGATTGATTTCTTGAAACATTGGACTTTCAAGAGGAAAACGTCACGTTGAAGCCCTTTAAATTTCAAGAATGGTTCATGATTTGAATTTTTTTCTTAAAAGTAACCTATTTAGAGAAAACTGAAGCAATGGGAAATTTTTATTCGCTGGGAATTCACAAAATTACGTCGATTTATGAGACTAGAATTCATTCACGTTTTTAATTACCTTAACACTTCTGCTGTTCAACAATAGAATTTGCCTTCTTTTTAAGAAAGGAAATGAACTGACTTAAAAAGAAACCAAAGGTCGCACCGCGAAAATTCAAGCTATTTGCACATCAAGGAAATTCAGTGCTATTAGGGAAAATCTTCACTATTTGAAATCAACTTGCTACTCTTGTTCAAAACCAAATACACTTTCATCAGCACCAAAAAAAATAAACATAGCCAACTGGCAGTTGGACAAGAGTAATGAACGCAAAGAAACAGAAAAAACTGACTTGTTTTTCGAGAACGTTCAACTTTTGGATTTCGAAGAAAAAACAGAGGGCCTAAAAGCTATTTGAATTTGTAGAACAAAATTTACCCAATCTGAGAAAACTGAATCAATAGGTTTAACTTTTATTTCGCTGGGAAATCTGATAATTAACTTCCCTTTACGAAATTAGAAGTCGATCACGTTTTTCGTCAACTTTTTTTTTGCTGTTCGATAGTTTATTTTGCCTTGCTTTTAACAAAAAAATCTGAAAAAAATGAAAAGTCAACCGCGAAAAATCAACATTGAGCGTGAACAAACTTTTTCCTGAAAAAAAAACCATTAAAAATCACCAAGACCGATACTCACTAAGTTCACTCTTAAACATAAAATACGACTTACAGCGTAAGTGATTCGTCCATTGACAAAGCATATTTCGTACACCTGTGTCACGATATTGATGGTGCAAAACACAACCAGGGCGAAGAAGATCACGTCTGCCACTTCCATTCTTCTCAAGAGGAATTCGTCAATGAAGGAAGGAGTCGGCAGTTCAAACCAGAAGAAGTCAAAGCCCAACAGGACATTCATGAGGAACAGGAATTGTACGAAGAACTGACCTTCTACGGCATCAACCCTGAAAGCATAAAATAGTAAAATCAAACTGCTTGAAATCGAGCAAAAGATCGAAATCGAACAAGAGCTTCAGCAATTTTCTCAATTGACCAACAAATTCCAATTGAGTTTTCGTACCGGACAATTTTCCACCTTGCTTTGTTTACAATTACCAATGTTGATCCTTCTTGCTTTGAAAAAGGCTACGTTTCAATTAAATGCCACTCTTTCAAATGATGATTTGTTCTCTTTTATATTTGTCCTTTTACATTTTTAAAAATCAATTGAAGACAATTTAAATATTTGTTCGGACGGCCCAAGGGATGAGAAGGATCTATTACATGGTTTCGATTTGCTTTTGGTTTTTTGACAACAATAACAAGTCGGAATACTTTCTGCTAGCTGGAACATCTGTTTAATCTTTATTATCAACTGTTCCACTAACTTTGAGAACTGAAGATGTCCGAAGGTGAATGACCTCCAGTGAGTGAGGAAGAAAAGGAAGTTTCCGCCCAGACAGAACATGAACAGCCTCACTTTGAAGTAGCTGAAGCGCAGTAGCGAACAAACAGACAACACTACCAAGCCTGAAATGAACCGAAATAAAACATACTATATTTGGGTCCATCGCACCTGTTTATCGCCAACACGGTGCTATTGTACGCTGTATTTCCTAATTTATCTTTCGGTCTTTGTTTGTATTATTTTTGTAAATTCCTCTTAGAGGTAATTATTTCAATACTACTACTAAAAACCAGCCGAAATTTGTACACAGCGAATAAGCTGAGTTAGTAAAAAAATTCATGTTAGTCAAAAATGAATGACTCAAATGAAAATACAATTAAATGTTTTTCACAAACATGCAAATTCAAAACAACGCTTTGGTTGAAAATACAGGCTGATGCAAAACAAATTGATCATAATAAGTTAAAAATCCACAATTACACCGGCATGTAATTATACAACAATAACTTTTTATGATTACGAAAATGATTATAACAAAACTAATATTAACATAAAGCCAATCTTGCAATGTACTAATGGATCTGACAATAGGAAATTTTTCCTGTATGTCTAACTAAAACTTTTCAAATTCAAATTTAAATGTTTATTTAGATTTAACTTTTTTATCTTTACGTTTAAATTGTTCAATAAATTGCAACTAATGTTTGCTACAGATTTCTTTCCTCAATTTGTTTTTAGGAATCTATTGTGTCTTATTTATTTTTTAGGTTCGTTTAAGTTCAAAGCTACTCTGCTATAGACACTGCCTGATAATTTCATGTCATAAGATGTTAGAAACATTCTAGTCAGGCAATGGTGGGTAATGAATACTTCCGCTGGTAAAACTTGATAAGTAGAACTCGTGTTCCGACGGCCCAACTTTCTTTTCTTCCTGACATATTTTCAACGGAGATAGCACACTTTAATTCCCCGGTTAAATTGTCTAATTGGTCAGTTAATTTGAGATATAGGTAGATTTTGAAAATGCTTACTAAAAGCTAAATGCAAAAAAATTTCAATCTGAAAAGCATAATTCTTGTTTCTAGCGGTACCATAAGTCGCACGCAGTGAACTAACTTAATTGCAACAGCCATTCTCTCAAAAAATTGTTCAATTCAGCTGAAAAAAAGTCTACTTTTACTTCAAGATACATAGCGAGTTCCTAAGCGGAAATTGTTCCTTGTCTATAAATAATATTTTCTAAGATATTATCTTCTAAAACAATAACTTCTACTTTATCAACACTAAGGACAAGTTTGTTTCCATTCGAACAATCATCTTATTTTTCTAGCGTTTCTAGCATTGATCTAATTTTCTAGCGTTTCTAGCATTGATTTATTTTTCTAGCGTTTTTAGCTCCGTTATTGTTAAATCGCTTATTTAGCAAAACTGAACAGAAAGCCGAAATGCAAGATGAACAGCAGGCGATTCATTTTTATGTGCTTCATAGTAAAAATCTTTCTCGAACTAAACAATATAAATTGTCAAAGGTGGATGAACTATGTTTAAAATGACAGATAGAACAAAACCTAGCCAATCGAAGATTGGAAAAGGGTAATGAACGCAATTAAACATAAAACAAAAACACTGACTTTCTTGAAAAAATCTCAACTTTCGATTTTCAAAGAAAAAATAGATGCCCTTTAAGCTCTTTGAATTTCTGGAACAATCTATATTGGCGCTTTTCTGATAACATGAACCCAACTAGAGAAAACTGGATCAATAGGTAAAGTTTTTATTCCGCTATAAATCTAAAAATTAAATTCCATTTTCGAAACTAGAAATCGTTCACATTTTTTTTCGCGCCATTTCCACGTTCGCATCTGGAGTGCTATTTAAGTCACTTTTAAGATGAACTTCAATTGAACTCAAAAATTGCATATATACCCAAGTGCATTCACAAATGCATCAATATGTATAAATGCACATTTACAGTAAGAGATTTTCCCAGGAAAAAAAAACCAGCAATACCTATATAAGAGCCTTTACCACGTTCATTACTTTTAAAAACTATCAAATTGAAAAAGAATGAAATCATGCTTCCGGACAACCTGAAAACTTTGTTTAAAGGTCTCATATTTTTAACAGCTCAAATCAAAAGTAGTCAAAAATTCTTAAAAATTGAAACAAACATTAACTTTTTTAAACAAAATCTTGTGAAAACGAAAACCCGCAGATCAAAAACACTTTGAAGATCTTTTTAAATCTTTGGCTGATAGCTGGAATTGAGACCTTGTTCAGCACACACGCAAAAAAAATCAACAAAATTGATAACAACAATGTGCAAAATTGATACATATCAACAATAAATAAACTCAATTATCTATCGGTACGCCAAGATTTTTAAAGCCTTTCAAATCAGTCTATATTAGGCACTGGAATCAAAAAAGACCAGAACCTACAATGACTATTTCTCGAAAAAACACAAGATCGATATTTCGCAAAAAAGGACAAGCTAAAATTATTTCAAATATTTACCCACAAGCACGCAACTCCCAAATCCTACAAGCACTTTCAACCAGCTCCTACTGAGTGACGTACAAAAAAACGAGGTGAAAATTAAGCTGAAAAAAATTCAGTCGTAGCGGCGACGCTGAACATTACGATACAAACTCAGCATGGTGATCCAGCCGACAAAAAACAAGCCGACGTTAAACTCGAGAAAAATTGCGATAAAAATGCGTCTAAAACTCTCACATCACAATTTTTGTCGTATGAAAATCAACTTAACAAGAACAATAGACGGCCTTAACTTAGCATAATAACAAAACTGACAAAAGGGTACCTAAGCCGGTAACACTGATCATAAAAGCCTTTGACTATTTATTTACCAAACAAATGACGCTATCTGAGGCTGCAAAGCCGTATAACATATGCCGAAAAACTTCAAGAAAACCAAAGCTTTAAATTTAAAAAAAACAAGAGAAAAAATACACAAAAACAGTTGGCAAGTGTACAACTGAGATACAAAAAAAAAACGAATAGAACGGGTAGGTAAAAACATAAATATGCTCAACTAGATCTTTTGCACTAAAATTGTAACCGGTTGCTATACACTTGCTCTCGCAAGTTCATTTAAATCACGCGGGAAAAAAACATTAAAAAACAATCACTAAAAATTCGACAGTTGCGCATCAACCAAAAAAATTAAAAGCCAGACTCAAATGAGTATTTGGAAAAAACTCATCCATCTACCTATGTAGGACAAGTGTGAGACGTTTCTTTTACTTCATATCTGCACTTTTTAACCTAAACTGCCTGCATATCATAGTCTTTGCTTACCAGTAAACTCAAAAAAAAACTTCAAAAAATCGTTGCAAAAAAGCCCAAATGAACCGGAACAAAATTATCAAAAGAGTCCATTCTGTCGGAACTAAGCCGATAAAAATAGTCAGATAGAAAAAACCTAAAATAGCCGACCATTTTCATTTTGCAAAAAATAGACTGGAATCTAACAAAAGAATTTGGGCTACGAGAACTAAGACGACAAAAAGCAAAAAAACTCTGGTTGGAAAAAGATTGACAGTAAAAGAATACTCTGTGCGAATAGATTTAAAATGAAATTGTTCAAAAAACTAACTAAAAAAAGCTTTAAAATTTTTCTTCAAACCGTAAATTTAAGTTTAAAAACAAAAAATCCATGAAATATAGCTATGTTCTTCAAAGTTGAATTGAAAGTTGACAAATAAAAGGACGAAATCAATTAAGTCTACAAAAAAATCTTTTTTATCAGAAAAGTTTTCAGCTGCAGACCCAGTAGCTCATTAAGTCTAAACACAGTAACTCAAGACCAAAATCTAGAGCTATGAAATATGAAACTTGGGTGAAACTGTAGATCTTCTAAATTTGGAGAGTTTGTGACCAAAAATATTTACAGAAAAAAGGCTAGTGCCCGATTGCAATACCCTTGCTTATTGCAAGGGTAAAAAGCACAAAAATATTCCCCAAAAATTATGGAACTAAATTATTTGCTGTGTTCACAAAGTTAGAAAAGGCAATTTACGATGGTAAACGTCGTCGGTGCTGGGAAACTACGCCGAAAAAACCAACAGAACATAAAATATAGGCAACAGATATAAGAAAGAAGAGAAGGGAAGAATTCACGGAAACCAAAAAAAATATATATACATTTGAATTTTGGTGGACATTTTTCGAATTTCGAAGACAAAATATACACAAAGGCGAAGCAGAGCTTTAGGCCAAATTCGAGAGAAAAACAAATGACAAATCTTGCGATAGAAAAACGAATGAAAAATTGAACAAAAAAACTTAGTGAAAATTTTTTTCGAAACAAAGTACAAAATTTGTAAAAATACCCGAAATCTTACATTGAATTAACTGCACCTTTAGAAAACTTACAAAGAGAAGCGAAGTATTGCGCTACATACAATAAAACCCAAGTTAGCAGGACAAACTAAGCGGCGAAAATAAAATGAAAGCAGTAGAAAAAAATATAAAAATTGATCCAACAAAAACTTTCCTAAATTTGTCTTGAATAAATGCCTGTCTAAAAAATCCCACAAAGAAATTTAATTGTCAAATAAGCATCGAAACAAATCTTATGTAGCGGTAACAAAGCCGACAAACAACTCTTGAGCAGATACGTGTGGCTCCGAAAAAAAAACACGTTGCTCCGAAAAAACTTCCCTGAAAACAGATAAAATTTGTTTGCTCCTCAAACTACTCAAAAAAGCTCTCCGTCTTTCTGTCCATTGATCCAAGTAGAGTAGACCAAAAAATCGTTCATCCTGTATTTTGTGATTAGGAAAAAAATCTAGCACCCGATTGCAATACCCTTGCTTATCACTAGGGTAATCACGTTAAAGCTCTTTCAAGTTCACGATTTGTTTATGATTGGCACATTCTTCTTAAGTTATCCGGTTAAAAGAACACTGGATAAACGAAATTTGTGTTCCTCTGGGAATTCAGACACAACTGCGCTTTGCAAACACTAGCCAGAACACGACAAAAAGCAGCTCTTGAGTTTCAACACGAGCAATAAAAAGTAAAAATAGGTCCGAATTAGTAAAAATTCGGCGAGGTCTCGGACTCGAACCTTCGACATACTACAACCTAAAAATTGCACCAGCCACGGACGCTTAGTCTAACTCAAACACTAGCCACAAATAAAGCCGAGAACAGTTGCTATCAGGGGCAGATCTAGGATTTTCTCGAGGGCGGGGGGTGGATTTTCAAAAAATTGTCCAAATTTTTGTCACCTTTTCTTTTCGGTCGACCGAATTGATTGTCTCCCAAAGCAGTAATAAATCCCTGTTTTGGCCGAAATTTCTGCAATGCAGGCAAAATTTTGAAAAACGGGCCAAACAAGGCGTTTTTAGGCAATTTTTTAGGAAAATTTTGACCAAAAAATTGTGTTTTTTTTTTTGGCGCGCACTCCCCCCTCAAAATTAGTATATATTGGCGCCTTTTGGATATTTCAAAATCAAAATAGTACAAAGGGGGGACCTTTTGGGCCGGCAGGTGGTCGAATCCCTGCCTCCTGAGGTAGGAGAGTCATCCGTGCAGGTTTCATTGGATTCTAACCCCTGGCCGTTTTCTAAGCATTGCCGTTACCTCTAGGCCAAATAAAAGAATCATTCAACGAAGTTGAAGTTAAAATAAAGCAAGTTCATGTGAGAATTCTGTGGACTGTTTTTAACTAGAAAAAAAGTGAAGAACTCGATTGCAAAACTCTCATTGTAAGGGTTATAATTTCAGCAAGCCCTTACGTGAGTACCTCCAACTGTTCCATGAATTTTACTTCGTAGCTGTTATTTCTTAGCAGCTCAATATTTTCGACTGATTTATTTGCCACCGACTGGTTTATATGTCACCTTTGGCTGGTTTATATGCCACCCACTTACCCATTGTGATAGCGTCCATTCCATGGTCAAATAGTTCGCCCATAGGCGTGGAGCAGCCAATTCTTCTAGCTTGTGCACCATCAGCAGAATCCAACACCCCGTATATGAACAGTGAAATCATGTAGAAAATACTGTTGGCTTCCGATATCTAGAAAAATGTCATTTTGACTATGATTTAAATAATTAGTTCAAAAAAACTCTATGGTCTTCTACTGGAAGCTTCTTCTTTACTAATTCCTGTTCAAATCATCCCGTTCTAGATTGAATATATATTCACAGCACTCAAAAGTAGTTCACAGCGGTCACATCTGATGTTTGAAACAAGAATTAACATACAGGGGCGGCGGATCTAGGGTTTTCTCGAGGGGGCGGATTTTCAAAAAAAATTTGTCGAACTTTTTTTAAGTCGACCAAATTGATTTTCCCAGCTCTTCCAAATCACTAAAAAAGACCCTGTTCTGGTCAAATTTTCCGCGCCGCATGCAAAATTTTGTGAAAAACAGGCCAAAAAGGCGTTTTTAGGCACTTTTCGGAAAATTTTGACCAAAAAATAGCGTTTTTAGGAGCGCGCTTCCCCCTCAAATTTAATATATATCAGAGAGTACTTTGATAGCCCCCAACTTCAGGGTTGAGAGTTTGAAATTTTGAAGAAAATAAAATTTCGTCCAAATTTTCGATTTTTTTTGAAAAAATCACAAAAAACGTCATATCTCGAAAACTCCAAGGATTTGAGCAGTCATAAATAGAGGCAAGGTTCGCAACCCCTGAGAGTACTCTGACAGCACCCAACTACAGGGTAGAGGATTTCAAATTTTGAAGAAAAATTTAATTCACGTTTTTTGAAAATTTTAGAAAAAAAAATCACAAAAAACGTCATATCTCGAAAACTACAAGGTTTAGAGCAGTCATAATTGGTGGCAAGGCTTCAAAGCCTGAGAGAACTCTGATAGACCCCAACTAGAGGGTTCGGAATTCCAAATTTTGAAGAAAAAAATTTCGTTTAAGTTTCCTGAGAATTTTTTGAAAATCACAAAAAACGTCATATCTCGAAAACTACAAGGATTTGAGCCGTCACATTTGGAGACAATATTCGCAGTCCTTGAGAGTACTCTGACAGCGCCCAACTACAGGGTTGGGAATTTCAAGTTTTGTAAATTGTTTTGTAATTTGTGTTTTCTGAAAAATTTTTGGAAAAAAATCACAAAAATCGTTATCTCGTACACTAAAAGGATTTGAGCATCCTGAATTGGAGGCCAAATTCGTAACCTCTTGGGAAATCCCGACAACGTCACACTATTGGGCTGCTTGTTTTACACTCGGTGGAATAACCACTGAATTCAAACAGGAAAATCGAAAAAAAAATCTTAATCATTGCAACATACAGGGGTGTTCAGTTATCGATATAGATTATATTGCAGTTTCAAAATAGATTATCGATATTTTTGAGCTGACAAAATAAATAATCTAAATAATCTTTGGAATATTTCGAACAAAAAAAGATTATTGTTGAAAATTTTATTTTTCAAACCAAATCGGATACAACTTTAATATCCCAGAGTTGCTTGTTTACAAAAAGGAACAATTGCGCTTCAAGGTTGTCATACCGCTACTGCAGTAGCAGTACTCACTATACGGATGTACAGCCAACCTCTGGTGTTAAATCATTATTTTATGGTACGCTCAAGGTCATACATAAGTGATGACACTGAGACTAAGTGAGAGATCAGAGTACTTAACAACGATCTATCTCTCAGTACATAAGAAAACAAAGAAAAGAGAAAATCTAAATTCAATCTTCTAAATAAAGTATTGAATTCCAACTTGTTTTCAATTTGATATCGCAACGCATATCACAAAGGTTGACAGGCTCGAGTTTTTTACGGTAGTCGTCAAAAATCATTTTTGCTCGACTAAACAATCTGAAACGACGTTATTTTGGTTGAATGTGTCACTCCTTTCCGTAAATAGGCCCACATTCATTGGCTACGAATCCCAAGACAATAATCGAGGCAACAAGTCACAATTATTGTTAGTCAACAATAGATTATTGTAATGTTTAGCTCCAAAAAATAGATTATCGATATATATTTATTGACAATAATCTTGTATACAATAATCTTTTGAACACCCCTGGCAACATACGATATAGCTTAAACATGAAAATAATACGTTGAAAAGGCTTAAACATAGCGAGATAGTGAAGCCCGCATTTAAATCAACAATAGATTATTTGAAAAAGAATCATCTACTCACTAAGTATGCAAAAGAGGCCCTGTCGTTGAGGATGACATTCACAGCTGCAATGCTATGAATGATAAAGCCCAGCAATGTAATCATATTTGGTGCCACCCATTTCGGAATTCGAGGAACCACTACTCTCGCTGCAAACTAAACAAAAATAGCCGACTATTATATGGTTTTAAATGGATACAATTTGTGTCTCATTGGTTTGAACCAATTAACAATTATGAAAGTCATAAACTTTAAACCGGTTTTTCTCTACACTGCGGAGATTTTTAGGAAATTTTAAATAGGCTTCCAACCACAACTGCAAGGGCTTTAATATGATAAATCACTCGACCCTTTCTGACGATTATTTGTGGCAACTAATTTTGCGTCGAAAACAAAAAGAAAAAATTTAAAGAAAACACCCAAATACACAGTCCCTTCCCACTTTCACTGGTCGGAAAAATAATATGAAGGGTATGGATGATATCTATATCCAATCAGTGGCGTATCGACAGCGGCGGCAAGTGCAAGAACATTCGGTGAATTTACAAAAAAAAACTATCAAAAGTTTTAATGAACATTAATAATCATAAGAAAAATCAAAAAACATCAAAACTTAGGCAAATTTGGTGCTCCGGCAACTAAGCCAACAAAAAAAACAGGCATAAGTCCAACAAGAATTTATTGACTGAGGAACAGTTTTATGCTTGCAAAAAAATCCTGAATGGATTCGAACCATTGATTGACTTTTGTATTTATAGGCAGGGGCGTTAGCTCTTCGCCACATGCGCGAATTAACGCCTGATTTTTGATTTCATATGAACCAGGGGTAAAGTGATTCTGTTAAATCAGTTGTTCAGCGAAAAAAGTTTTGAGCTCAAGCGTAAAAACAACAATGATAGCCGTTTACTGCTCAAGTCGCACAGAATGTTCTGACCATGGTCTTAAAAATTACAAAAAAGACGTTTTTTTTTTCAGATAGTGTTGTTTTTTTTTCTGCATGGTATGATTGTGATAAAAGGGTCTTTTGGAAAACTTTTGATGTCGTTCAAATCACGACTGAATTATTATGATATATCACTCGACCCAATCCGATGGTTATTTGCGGTATCTGATTTGGCCAGGAAAAAAACACCCAAATACAAAGTCCCCCCCCCCCCCCCATTTTCAATGGTCAGAACAATAGAAATAATCAAGGGCATAATTGGTTACGAGGTTTTTTGTAATATTTCAACTGCAGAACCGACGAAATATTCATTTACGAAGAAGGATATCGAAGCGAATGAAAAGTTGTTAAAAAGATCCATTAGAAAATCATCCTTTGAGATGATCCATCAACAGTTACTTAAATGAGTACATCATACGCACAGCATCCATGTATTGCTCGATGCATCCTTTGCCTCTGCAATCGTATTGGTGTGTCTTAAATTGCAACAGGTCCTCTGGGCTGAGAAGATAACGGAATAGGTGGAACTTCATGCTGTACTGACAAAACTTCTGAAAAAAAAAAACGCATGTAGGTCTAACTAAGTGCATACAAAAAAGGTGAAAACTCTCAGAAATTATTAACTATATGTTTAAAATTGTTACAAATTAGTTGTTACATAATTTCAGTAATATTTGTAAATGAGAAATTTAAAATGTTAATACAAACGTTTTGCACATTTTGTGCATCATCAGGATTAAAAATTTTTACTTTATATGTGACATTCGACCAGAATGGACGAAACTGCAGATTCGAAATTTTAGCAGCTAGCCTTCCGAATTAGCAGTTTTGAAGGATTAGCAGTGTTATTGGAACGATTAGCCAAACGGTGAAGGCTAGAATATTCTGGTGTTTCAAATTTTTAAATTTTCGAAGTATGACGTCATATTTCTGAGAAACATCAGAAACGGCCATTTTGGCAGAAAAGCCGAAATAAAATACAACAACAACAGTAGTTGCGACGGTAACAACGAAAAAAACTTAGAATCGGAATTAGAGACGAGCAGAAGTAGCAGAGGCCGTTCCGGGTTGCTACTATTGTGTCGCTACAATAGTTGCAAGGCCGTTGCGAACAACGGTGAAGGGTAGAAGACAGCCTTCCGGAAGGAAAATAGAGGTCTTATTTCCCCGGATTCAAGAATCCGGAGGGGTCTGGGGACTGAAACTCTTAGCCTTTTATATAAACTTTTAGCTTCCCTATTATGTCCTGAATTGAATTTAATTAACATCCGAATTCATTTTACTAGGATGAGAAGCTAGGAGTTGGGGCAAAGGATTGATCCATCTTCGATGGAGATGATGATTATTATCTACTGAGCAAAAACAATAATAATTCAATAAATAGTAGTAGCCCTGTTTTTAAAAGTGACCTCGTGGTCTGGGGATACTGAGACCCAGCCATGAGCTCACTATTTCTGCATGTAATTAAGTTAACTTGAGCATTCTGGTCGAAGCCGGAAAACAGTAACGTTTTTGTCGACCCGATGTTGAAAAGACCACCAAAAGAACTGGCTTGGTAGAGACGGTGAAAAGCATGTAGAGCTCTGTTTAGACGTTGGCCAGTCGTCTTAAAACCTAGCTTTATTTTCCGTCGATATGTATCTTCCGGGCGAATGTTACATAGATGTTTTTGTGGCGCTCCTGGGTGTTATTCTTTTTTTAACATCATGACCGGCAGAACCGTTAACGAGCACTCAGCGCCGAGCGGATGCTCAAATTAACGCCCTTAATAGGCCAGAACCGCCGGGGTGGAAGGGTAGTTCGGAACGCGGAAGCCTTCCGGATTACCGTGAATAGCTTTTTAACCCAGTTAAGACCGAAAATTCACGAACCAGGAAGGGTGGGGGGATCGGCCATCACCTCGTTCCCTGAGAGGTCTGTGACCAAAAACACTTAAAAATATATATAAAACCAAACAAAAAGTAGTATAGTACCCAAGAAAAACAAAAAAACATAAAAAATAACTGAAAAAACCAAAAACAGTAAGAAAGTAAAAAATCAGTAGAAATCATCACCCCAGACAAGATGTGATCCGATCCCCCGTTTGTTGTTGATAGATAGATTGTTGTTACAGGCATTTATATCAGTCAGGATCGTTACGATCAATTTTGTGGCCCGTTTGTGAGGCTTGTACTGTAGGGTTATTTGAGCATTTAAGCACGTTAATGATAAATTGCGCTCAATCCGGAAGGGTCAGCTGATTTGCGCTCAATTCGGAAGGGTTTTGGGAGACGACTGATCCGGCAAGCAGTACAAGGAGCAACAAGAAGGGGCTCAACGACAACAACAATCGACTGTTGGGTATCGTTAACAAGTTTTGTATCCCTTTTGGTACAAAAAGTAAGATAGCAATCTGTGGGGGGCTCGACAGTGCTGCACAGTAGTGACCCTTCACCGAACTGCGAATATCCGAGTTAAGCACCTTAATTCGGATATTCAACAAACCCGGAGGGCTATAGTATTACTAATATTATTACTTATATAGCCTATATAATACTCCTATATCGTTTTTCAGTGAAAAACACAGAAAGCAGACCGGTTTTTAGGGTCAAAATTGCGATATTTTGATCCCCCCAAAAATCGCGATTTTTGAGATATCGATATTTTTTGAAATAAGAAAAAAGCGCTAAATTAGTGTGTTACATTGTATTTGCACTACTATAATAAATAGAACCGGTTAAGTTTAGTTCGGAAGTGGTTGGAACTATTTTGGTACCAAAAACCGAATTTTCGTGATTTTTGAGAAAACGGAACACTATAAATTCAGAATTTTTTTTTGAAATTTTGAGTTAGGACAGTAAAAATAGTGGTTCGGACAACGTCCACTAGTGAATCCTCAGATTCTAAAACCCGCTTCCCGAAAGCCTTCCGGGTTACAGAGGAATCGAACTTAACGTGTTTGATTTAGTGGACTCATCAATCCGGAGGGGTCCAGGTAGCATAGTTTTTCGCAAATTTTTTCAAGTAAAGCGTTTTAGATCGTTTTTTTTGCATTGAACTAAAAGAGTATAGGCCTTCTGAGCTCGGATCAATAATTTTTAGATCAAAAAGAACAGAATTGCGCAAAAAGTTAGGTGGAACCTATAAAAGAGAAATTTCTTGACTTTAGAAAAAAGACGTTTTGGATAATAACTTTGGAACTACTGGACAGATCCAGTTGATCTTAGTACCAATAGATCAGAAAGTAGCTGAGCTTACTAATAGGAACAAAAATTATTCGAAAAAATAAGCGTGAAAATTTTTTGAGATTGTTTTAGCAAGTTCACCAATTCGCGAGGGTAGACCCCTCACGTTTTATAAAAAATTTTTTGGAAAACCCTTACACCCCTACCAAAGGGTAGCAATGTCGAATAGGGCATTTTTAAGCTGTTATTGAAGAAAGGGAAGTCTTAAGGCACCGGAAAACTTCGATAGAGCCGAAATTAGGCTAGCGATAAGACCCTTCACCGTTAGCGTGAATTGTCAAATAAGAAGTTTAACTTCAATCCGGAAGGGTATAGGAAAGGATCACATACCCTTCCTAGTTAATTCAAACAGCATAATAGCATCGGAGAACGTATCCGGAGAGGTAGAGGTTGAAATCAAGGAAATCTCCGAAAAGCTACTTTTACAAAACCAGAGGACTCCCAATCCGGAGGGGTCCAAATTTTTTCAAATTCGGAGGGGTCCCAATCCGGAGGAGTCTTGTTTTCACAAAACCGGAGGGGTCCCAATCCGGAGAGGTCATATATTTGCTAACTTAGAGGGGTCCCAACCCGGAGGGGTCTCAATTTTGCCAATCCGGAAGGGTCCTATTTTTGCCAACCCGGAGGGGTACTGTTCTTTGTCAACCCGGAGGGGTATTATTTTATTAAAGGACTTAGGTAAACAGAAGAAAAGATTATAGTGAGAGGTATTAGGTTATTAACAGACAGGCTAGGAATCAGTGACTGCACTGGTACTTGCCTTTCAATAAAGACAAGACCAAAACAAAACAGGTCCGACTAGAAGATCTCCAACAGACAACACCATGATGGCAGGCGGGACTGAGAAACAAACAACGTCCTCATCGTTCTCAGAAAGAATGAAGAACACCTTCGGAAACATCTTTCCGTTCACCATGGGAGTGGGCACAGGAAATGAAGGTGAAACCCAGGAGGAAGAAGAGGAAGAAGACGAGCAAGTGGACTTTGGATCTCAAGTCAGCCTCAATTGTTCGACCCAGGAGAATGAGGCATACGTCGAAAGAGAGACTGGAACCATGGATAAATTTGGTGTGGTGAGAACGATAAGCAAAGACGCAAACACACCAGGCCAGTCGAGAGGCTTTGCGACTATGACAAATTCAGAGACGCGAGCTGGGGAGAGTAGAAACAAAGGGCTAGGCAACGCATTAGCGGATCCTGAAGTGGATAATGAAAAGAGGTCGAGGCAGAGAATCAAAGCCCGAATCTCGACCAGCACGAACCTACCTGGGAACGACAGGGTGACACCGCCACTAGTGACGCCACTAGTGGATAACGGGGCAGCATTAGAAGAAGCCTTGAACAACATAGTGGGCAGTTAGGAGAACAGAACGAACAGATGTCCTTAAGAATGAGTGAACTAGAAAGAGCAGTTCACATTGAAAGAGAAAGTCTACGGGAAGAAATAAACCGCAATAGACAAGACGTTGGTAGGAGCGAAAAACGCTTGAAAGGAAGAACGGACGAGCACATAGCGAAGAACTTGTCGCGAATGACAAGAGAAGCGGAAAGGAGAGAGTTACGCTTAAGAGACGACATGGAGAAGTTAAGAATTCAGCAAGAGCAATCTCTTGGGTCTCTTGACACAAAGATAGATGCGATGATGGAGAGGCGAACTCAGGCTATCATGGATAGGTTGGAAGGGCTACTAGGCAGCAAGAGTGGACCAAAAGAAGGGGAACCGAACTCGGGAGGTCCCAGCAGGGAGCCGAAGATGAACTTCAATGACCATCAAAGGAGGATAACATATCGATCCACTAGAGGTAGGGGCATTTCATCAGGCTATGCCACAAGGAAAATAGAACATGGGGCCCAAACAGTAGAGCAAGTTCAACGGGGAACAGACATACCTCTAACGAAAGACCGACGCAAAGCACACATGCGACTGGGAGAGGTGATTCCTGTAACAGGAGACATGCGAGCCCAGGGAGGAGTCATGTGGGCCAAGGGGGAAACACTTACGGCGATTCGGATTGCAGGGATGCACCATATACAGAGCCCTTAACAAGGTGTGATGACACTCAGGAGGGGCACTCGAGAGATGCTACGGCAATGGCCACAGCCTTTGAGCCCCTGAACAGGTCTTTGGAGACATTCCTGACGAGGTTATCCAGAACCAATGAACGCAGTGAGAAGTCCAGAAGAGTCTTTAAGAAACCAAGATGCTACAAAGACGAATCTGATGGCTGTATTGATACCTGGATAGAGGTAATGAAACTGCATTTCGAGGAAGAGGATTTATCGGAAAGACAAGAATGCAGTGCGCTTACCAGTAACTTGGAAGGGACAG